AAACTAGTAGAGAAGCAGATCAGAGAATAAAAACAAACTTGTAGATATAGACAGATATAGATCAAATAAATACACAGTACTACATGAAATATGTACACACTTCAATAACAAACAACTAAAAAGTGGTAGTTCATACAAACTTGTAGATCAAACAAATACAACCTAACAAACACATGTACATCAAACATATTAGACAAATAAAGATCTGAACATCAAACAAATAAAACCTAACACATCAATTCAAATGAAAAGTATGAGAATGTAGTAAAAAACAGACATGCAGAACCATAAATGACATGCATAACATAGATAATAAACAGAGCAAGGTACAAATCAGATCAGAGAACAAGCTCACCTCGTACGGGATGTCGTTGTCATCTTCTGGCTCCATTCCTTCAGTTGGAGGAGCCTAGCTGCCCGAAGCAACTGAACCACGTAGCCTAGCTGCCGGCGCGCGGGCACGGCTACTGTCGGTTCCCACCCTGGAGCGGCGGACAGCAGAGCGAGAAGCCAGGCGTTTCCCAGATCCGGTCGCTCCTGCAGTCGGCTGAGGAGGAACGAACCCTCCACCACCGGATCTGGCGCCCATGCGAAGAGGAAGCATCCCTCTACTGCCGGGAGCGAGGTCACCTTGGAGGAGCCCGTGGTAAGAGCCCATGTAGGGGAAGCCAGCGGCGTCGGTGTTCAGATCCAGCCCCTCCATGCCGCGGCGAGAGAGAGTGTAACACCCCAAATTTTGCACTTTTAGAAATACAGTAAAAATGATTTATTTTGTATTTCTGTGCTCATGAAATACAGGCAAACTAATATTTTTCTCTAAATTAAAATGTATCATAGGCTTAGCAACATGGTTGTGCATACATGCTGGTGCATATATTTTTATTGTGATGTATGCGTGTTGTGTGACTTCATGTTGAGAGTGAGCAAAGTTTTCAAAACGTGTTTGGTAAATCGACCTTCCTTCTCTGGTATGTCTGCGTTTTTTTTTCTGTCATCGAAATTGTCTCGGCTCGCTAATCCATCTCCTATCAATTCTATTTTTATGCTCCTTGCATTTCTTTCCTTAACGTGATGGTATAATATAATATAAAAAAATGATCTTTTAAGGAAGCACCCATCCTTTTGTCTTTCTTAGCTGGATGATGGTTTTTCTTGTAGCCGACTAGTTCTCTTTCCTTGGATGATCCGATGACTAAGTTGTAAGTCGTGTACATCAAGGACTCTCACGAAGTTTCTCATATGCCATCTTTATTCTATATAAATGGCAGGCCTGTGTCATCGTTTCTTTTCTAAAATCCCAAACCTAAGCCAATCAATCCTGATCTAGCTGCCGCCCATCATCTTCATCTGCCGCCGCCGCTTCGTCGTCGCCCCGGGCTATGTACCGAGCTTCGCGTCGTGCCTCACCGAGCCGCTGCTGGAGCTGGACGCTTCCTTGTCGTCGAGTTGTTCGTTTTGCTTTTCATCTGGAGAACCCAAGCAAGAAGCCGCCGTCATCCCTCCGAGCACCACGCCATCGTTGTTCGTTCCAGATCGTCAAAATTCCTTGTGGTGAGTTCGCCGAAATGACTGTGCCTGCTCCATCCCTGTGTTTTTTTTTAACGCAGCAATCCGAGGCTTGTATCATCGAGGCTCCATCACCGGCCATGGCGCATGGCAGCACCGTGCATGCTCGGCATGTTCGTAGTAGATCCGATTAGCTTGATGACATCAATCGATGACATCATGTATGTTTTGTGGCCGTTTTTCATTACGAGAATAAATCTAGAAATACTATAGAAATACACATAAATATAAACACTCATCGTGAGACGTCCATTCTAGTAGCTTAGCTTTGAGCCGACGTGGTCTACGTGTCGATGTTTATGTGCCACATGCTTTTGTAATATATTTATTTAAATATTAAATTGGTTAATGATTATGCAAACATGTTTCTAAATAAAAGCAATTTAGGGCGAGGTCGATCATTTTATATTTAACTGTTAACTTGATTAAAGTCAAATTAAATGTGTTTCAGTATATTATGCCTATGCTAAACATGGACATATCATATTCGTTTGGATATTTTCACGTGCACTCGTCTTTCGCTAAGTTAAAGTTTAATAATTTGATCGCGTGCTTATAATTAAAATATAATTAATTATACTTTAGTTTTCTTTATTCAAATATAATTTTGACTTATCGAATATGTACTTTCACTCGCTGAAAATTCTTCTAAAGTTAGCATGTTCACGCCGTAGCTTTTCGGCTTGTTCTTCCATATATAGTTAAATACCAAATTGATTAAATATTATTAGTTATATAATTAAAAACAATATAGGTTATTATATGACGTTTCTTTTACAAATAAATATTGATTAGATTAATGGCAACTTCAATATATTTTATAATCGTAAATTTCTTGAAGCTAAACGTGGTCAGATAAAACTAATTTAGATGTCCTCCCGTATTTGTTTTACAAAGATAAAGTTTAACTTGCTCAATAGATTATGTGATAAAATATATAATGTAAGATATGATTAGATAACTCGTCTTTGAGAATTATAAGACATAATTGGACTAATCTGGATTATTAGGTTCCTCATGGTTTTTTTTGTAATTAAAATAAATCAAGCATGTAGAGGTTTTTCTTTTCTTTTGACGATAAAATAAAACTCTGGTAGTCATTTCTTTTGACGATAGTTGTGTAGCCGGTGTTTCTTGTGATCTAGTGACCGTAGCATCTAGTTATCTTTTAGTACGATGTTTTCTCTCATGTGATGTATTGTTCTTAGTTGTCTGTATTTGTTTGCTTGTATGTTTGTCTATGCATGGTGCTTGCTTCGAGTAGAACAAGAGCGGTGGAGATTAGAATCTGAAGTGCCGAAGCTGTAGAATGGAAGATGAAGTTGATGCTTCTCTAAGCAAGTTGCTATGGGAGTAAAGCAAGTATAGCTTGGGTTTTCCTTCTGTGACTATGATCTTGAAACTTGATTAATGAATATGCTCTAAACATAAACAAGATGACTTTTTAGCAATATAAGGACTTGTCTTGTAACTGATTATTCGGGATTTAACGTACAGCTGTGAGGGCTATATGGCTCTGGCTCTAGCTGCTTGAGAAACCATTTTCTAGCTGGTTAGAGGTCTGCGAGTTGGGTATAGGACAACCTCTGTCCTGTGTGAGCCTAGCTATGTAAGCGGCCTTTTATATTATTGGAAGGGGGGTTCCTATATCTGATGACCCTGCGGCCCTGGCCGGTTAGACGAGCTCTTGGATGGCTTTATATGGTTTCCGGTGTTTTGGGAGTAATTAACCCACTCATTTGGGAAACATGACTCACAGTGAAAGTGTACACCTCTGCGTAGAGTTTAATAAACTGGTATACTAGCCATGCTCACGGATACGAGCGGCCTTAGAACACTTACATAAGGGATGATGACTTTTACTTGTTAAGATGATCATTTATGTCAATTGTTTAAGATATTTATTATTCAATTACACTTGATCATGTGGTTATGGATTACACTACCTTGTTGCTATATTTGCGGAGTTCGACATGGACTCACTCTTGCTATTCCCCCCACACCTCAGGAGAAGTTTTAGGCTTGTGATCAACCAGTCAGTTGGATCCAGTGGAGTGGAGTTTACACCCAGAGATCGGAATTGTCCATTCGTTGATTGCTTTCTAAGGTTATCTCTTTTGCTAAGTTCGCTATATATTAAGCGTTATGAATTAATACTGCCCCTTCATTTGTAACTATATGTGAGATTTGATTTTCAGGGCTCACATATGGTGTGCATTCGGCTTTGTCCTTGAAACCGGGTGTTACAGAGAGAGAGAGAGTGAGCGAGGTGAGATTGAGCGAGCTGAGAGAGTGAGGAGTGAGGGGTATGGTGCGCATTGATGAAGGGCAAGCGCTGTCCGGCGGTGGTTTTAGGAGGTTCTAGTAACGATTTCGTTACTAGCGTTTTGTAAACAGTTTAGGAGGTTTTAGTAGAGGTGTTTGATAAAAAAGCTATTAAAAGGATTAAAAACTACTAAATTTAGTAGAACCAAACACCACCTATATCTATGTCCTTTTTCGTCGGAGGGATAGATGGACACAGCAGCAGCTAGGACTTCTGTAGCTACACAGGTGCAGTATGAATTATTGAGCCTGTGCCGCGTTCGCACCTTCACTGGTTGAAATGCTGCAGAGAGCCCAAGAGCGAAGCAGTCGCTGTGTTCTCACTTCATCCTCACCTTCTAATTCTAATATCCTTCTCCCACTGCAAGAGGCTATGCCAAGCTCTTCGAAGTAATTACCCACCTCTGTCATTATAATAGATTAATAAAAAAATAGGAGACGCTATATTTCCGTGCCTAAAAAATACAATGTTTTCAGGCGACGGCCAGATCTGCATCCAATGGCCAGGCTGTCTGCAGCTGCTTCTGTCACCCTCACACCAATAACGGGTCCGCGAATGTACCCGTGAACCCACCCAGCCACTTACCGGGCCCGCCCAAACCTTAACGGGCGCATGAACCAAAACCCGCTAACTGAAGTTGCTGCTCATTTGGACCAAAATGCAACAATCGGCCCAAAAAACATACGTACAAGCAAAATGAAAAAATAACAAATCTGCCACTGCACCCTACAAACACCGATCAATTCCGGATCCAGATAACGTGCATGAAGAAAGAGAAGAAAATCAGTAAAAATTGTACAGAAAAACCACAACAAGAGAGGAAAAGAAGATCAGTGAAAAAAATGATCCTGGAAAATTTCAGAACATAAATATGAAAATTGCACATTTCAAATACTGCAACTACTACTTGTCATTAATGCAATTATACTGAATATGTGTATAATTACAAAAACTAGCTCATGCATGTGAACCCTGCTGCAGTTTACTACTTATAATCATCTTAGGTGCATCTTCTCAGTTCAGCGGTTAGTTCTTCTTGTACCCTTCTACTGTAGCCCCATGTTGTCAAAACTTCCACAAACTTCATCATAGAAATTGAAGAAGTATTTCAGATCTGTACATTGCAAGAATGTACAGAAGTTAAGTAAATCAAAAGCTATAGCACAAGTGAAGAACTAAACCTAGCATCAAAGTGCCCAAGTAACAAATTGATGCAAGGGCTTACACTAAGTCCTGCATTTTCTAGTCATACTGGTAAAAACACAAATCACAATTAATAGAAAAAACACAACTAACTTGCAGCAAACTAGGCAAGTTACAAGTACCAAAGGCCAGTCAGCTGGCACATATTAGGAGAGAGGCTTCCATCTAAATGATTGCCCTGAAAGCCCCTAGTAATTATAGTTACTAATTTAGCCACAAAACTAAGAAGAAATTACTTGATGTTTCAGTATTACTAAATTACAGTAACACAGAGCAGCAGGTGGAAACAGCTATGATATATTCTAGAAATCCTATCTGTATACGCCATCAGAGTGGCTTTCATCCAGACAAAGATTCAAGAGGAGGGAGTAGAGTTCTAATGGCTTATATGATCTGTCCCTTTGACTACAACCATAATTCACGGCTGTTCTCAGTTCTCTCTAATACATATCACAAAAGATTATATAATTGCTTGTGAAAAAAGTTATCACTTTACAGTATTGACTTACTATAGGTATTGTCAACCACAAGCCATCACTACTAGAAAACAGACATTTCACCCACTTCGATTTTAGCCTTTAGTCTCGATATTTTTTGCGTTCGGGACTAAAGGACTTTTAGTCCCAGTTCGTAATACCAACTGAGACTAAAAGTCATCTTTAGTCCCTGTTGGTGTCACCAACCCGGAATAAAAGTTCACTAACTTTTAGTCCCGGTTGGTAACACCAACCAGGACTAAAGGGTGACCTTTTAGTCCCGATTGGTGTCTTCAACCGGGACTAAAGGTCTTTTACCCGGGACTAAAGGTCTCCCACGAGTCTATTCAAAAGGGGAGCGCACATGACTTTGTCACAAGTGGTGTGCAGTTGAGTTGGTAATGTACCTACGTGCGAGGAGAGATGTGTTGGGTTCGAATCTCACGTAGAGCAAGCGAAGCCTCGAGGATTTCCTTTATTTTTTTCTTCCATGGGTGACCTTTAGTCCCGGTCCCCAGACCCGGGACTAAAGGTGTGGACCTTTAGTCCCGGGAATTTAGTCCCGGTTGGGAAAACCGGGACTAAAGGGCCTTCCCAACCGGACTAAAAACCCGTTTCTCTAGTAGTGCATGCACCAGCATTTTTGCACAGATCTGAAATTCTTTGGAATGACAATGCAATATTATAAAATATTGGATAGTGATTCCAAACACAAGTATTTGTGGAGGGATTACCTCAAGCATAGGCCTGGGAATAAAAGCTCCAGAGGGGTTCCTTGGATTAACAACAGTAACAAGTCTAGGGATAGGGTCATTTTCTTTCAGAACCTTCTCCAACCAATCTGCAATTTTAGACATAATAATTGTAATGTATGCGTCCAAAATGAAATATTATCAACTACGGCCAATGCATACTTTCTTATACTAGACGTGTTGCATTTTACAGAAGCATATTCTTCTCATCAGCTAAAAGATAATGTAGACTTATAAGGGAAATTGAACATGTGCCAATGAAGCAGATGCTCCTGAACCAGCATTAAGTACAACAAATTTCTTACAACAGACTGTTGATATAAGACATGTCACCAATTTTTCCAATGAAACAGGAAGAAGAAGAGAATCATCGTACCAACATCAGGATGAAGTGTCATGGGATCGCAACCACCAACTAATATGTCAGTAACACCTGTCATCTCAAATGACATGTAGGCATTGAAATAATATGGTGCAAACATGACAACAGAATCACCAGCATCACAAAGAGTGAGGACCAAGTTCACAAAAGCCTGAAAAAAATAAATGTAACAAAAGATCAGATTGTAAGACAAGTTCAAGGTCTAGCAGTGAAATAGGAAAGGAAGAGTGTGCCCCCAAAGAAGTAATGAACAGAAGTAAATTGGGAAACATAAGGCTCAGTTTGAAAACTTTACAAGGCAAAATAGGAAAGTAAGTTTTTACCTGATTTGCACCAGCAGTGACCATGACTGATGACTTGGTAAGCTTATTCTCTCTGCGTAGCTGCCAAAAATACAGTAGGCATCAGGAAAGATATACAAGATGCTTGCAATGCAGTACTAATTTTAACACATTGGTGGTCCATGGCAGACTTGATGAGGAAACTTGGATGGGTAGCCTGGTTGTTAACTGTAATAGGTTGGATTCTGTCACCCATTATCAGCTTGCTCTTGAACAAGATCTTTCCCTACCTAGTGTTCGACACATCAAAAAAGCTCAAGGAGCTAGAGAATGATATTATCAGAAAGTTGAAGCAGATGCTTAGTGCCGTGGAGGAGCAGATGGCGCTTAGAGCAGCTGAAGACAATCCGTCTCGAAGCGATCTGAAGATACTGGACAACATGAAGATGGATCTCAAGTCTGCCTTGTATGAAGCCGAAGACATCCTAGATGTTCTCGATTATCGCCGGATCGAGAAGGGTCTCCATCTTGGGGATGATGACAGCCGCTGGGTGGAGAACCAACTCGGTGCTGCCTGCGCCTGGATTGCTCGCTGCAAGGGGAGTTCCTTTGGGCGATGGATACATGTCACCCTCGCAGCTGTAATGAAGAGCGCACAAAGCATGATCCAGCGGGGGCAGTTGGTGATTCAAGGGTGGTGGCACTCTGGGAAGAACTTGGACCTGTTTTCCATCTGTAGAGCCATAAACATCGCCGGTGCTGCTATACTGCAGTGCGCACAGAGCTGGTACCAACAGCTGGGGCAACTACTCAGGAGTTCAGTAGTGCAGTGTGCACAGAGTTGGTACCAGCAGCTGGGACAACTATTCAGGAGTGTCATACTACCCAAATCAGGTGTGCCGCTTCTTCCTGTTTCTATCAACCCAACCCGGCAACCCCCTTGTCTTCAGTCCAGAGGCTCTGAATTTGTTCCAGCGGTCCCAGCACGTAGGGCAGCAGAGAAGATGGTGGATGAGGAAGAAATAGTGGAAGAGACACAAGTGGAGGAAGGAGAGGGGGACGAGATACAAGATGGAGAAGTGGGAACACTGTTAGAGGAGATAGAAGATGAAAGTTGTGAAGGAGGAGAAGTGGAGGAGACGTCAGAGGAAGAGATACAAGAAGATGATGAGGAAGGAAAAGAGGGGGCGCCAACTTCTTTGTCAATATTGGGGTACAGTGCTCGATCAGAGGAAGAGAAAGAAGATGAAGAAGAGGGAGAGACATCAGAGGAAGAGATAGAAAAAGAGAGTTGTGAAGGAGAAGTGGAAGAGATGTCAGAGGAAGAGATAAAAGAAGAAAGTTGTGAGGGCACGTTCAGTTGGCATGGAATCTAAATCTTGGAACCGATCCGGCCAGGAACGCTACTGTATTTTATACAGCCGAGCATCACCAAGATACGTTCCGGCCAGGAATGACCCTAACCGAACAGGCCCTGAAGGAGAAGTGAGAGAGACGTCAGAGCAAGAGAGAGAAGAAGATAATGAGGAAGGAAAAGAGGGGGAGTCAACTTCTTTGTCATTACTGTGGTACCGTGCTCGATCTATGCTCACATGGTTTGCAACGGTCCGTTTTTGTCGAGATTGGTCATATGGAATTTTTGGAATCAAAAGTGACAAGGTACCATCTAACTATCATTTCAGATTGAGATACTGAAATATCATTATACCAAAATATTTGCCTTTTGATCTTTGTGAAATATTTGTCTTGTTATTTCTAGCTATGCAACATAACTAGTATACCAAAACAAAGAGTCTATATCGATTTTTACTGCCTCAGGAAAGCTACTGTGAGCTAAAATTACGATTTGAAATTTGGTACGTAGATACCAAATTACGATTTGAAATTTGGTACACCATGTATGTCATTCAAAATTAGCTTTTAATACATTAATAGTGATAGAAGTGGGTAATTCAGAAACATACATGTGTAATTTACGGTAATTTCAAATTTTTATGTAGCAAGGTATTGGTAATTTAGATGTAAATTCGGGGTATATTTTTGTTTTATTCACAATAATGATAAAACTAGGTAATCTTGACGTAGGCTTGATTGATATTTTAGTTTTTCTTATGAATGAGAGAAGTGAGTAATGTAGAAATGTGGGTAATTTAGATGTTAAGTGGTTATCTTATCTTTTTTTTAATGAAAGTGGTGGGTAATATTTCAAAAAAATCCAATTCCTATTATTATCAATACGGATTGAATTCTAACTATTCGATGGCAAGATCTTTCTATTTTAGTGAGATCAATTGGGAGCCTCCAATTAATAATACTAAGATATATACGATATAAAGTTTTCAAGTATTTCCATAGTGAAGTTTAGTCATTTAAGACAATCTAATCTATAGGGTTGATAAAGATAAACTAGTGGTATTAAATTAACTCTTTCCATTTTCATATGATCAATATTAATACTATTTTTGTACAACAATTAGGAGCCAGTATTGGCCCCGTTCGCATCGCTGAAAAAAAAAGCCGAAACACTGTTCCGGCTGATTTGTTGTAAGAGGAAAACACTGTTGTAGCTAAAAAACAAACTGAAAAGTATGTTTCATTTTGCACGTTATAGAATGAAGTGTGCTTTTAAGGGGTTATGAGTCGCCAGAATGCATCGCTGTCCTCATATAATTATTTGAACCATGCTTCTTGCAGAAGGATACCTGCAGTAGAATCTTTAGTGCCAATAACCGAAAGAATCAGTCTGAATAAAAGCGCATAGAAGATATTCTCGATACCTCCAAGAAATCAGATCTGTTGAATGATAAGAATAGTAGCAGTGGCACCACCAAGGACACTGACAAGGAAAGCAGCAGCTCCACTGTCAAGAACAGTGCCAACGAAAGCAGCAGCAAGCAGAAAGAAATTGACGAATTGTCCCAAGACAGTGCACAAAAAGTGTTTGGTCGAGAGAAGGACCGTGCGGATATAAGTAGGATGCTTCGTGAGGCACCAGATACCTATGCAGCAAGCTCCAGCACCAGCAAACCTTATTCTGTGATTGGCTTACAGGTTCTGGGAAGAGTACCCTGGCACAATATGTTTGTGACTATGAGAAGAAGGCAGGACATTTCGACCCTGTCATGTTCATTCATGTGGGGAAGACATTCAGCGTGGGTAATATATTTCGTGATATGATGGAGCAGACCACACAGACCCGGCCACCTAAATAATGAAGGCCTTAAAAGTCTGAAAACAAAATTGAAGGAAACATTGAAGGACAAATGTTTCTTTTTGGTACTGGATGATCTCTGGGTCAATGATGACAATCAGAAGGAACGGAATATTCTACTTGATACGCTCAGTGCAGCACTGAGTGGAAGCAGAATCCTTGTGACAGCTCAAAAGAAAGATGCAGCTGGAGCTTTTGGTGCTCATCTGCAGCTATTTCCAATACCTCGTTTGAAAGAAGAGGTCTACTTATCATTGCTCATGCACCATGCAGGACCATTTGCATCTGATGATGATTATAGAAAATATGAGAGGATTGGGAACAAGATTTTTAAAAGGCTACGCAGGTCACCTATTGCAGCAGTAACAGTAGGAAAGCAGCTTCAGAACGAAAGTACCCTTTCCTGGGAGACAACAGCGAACCATGATGTGCTCAAAAAGACCATGGGAGCTCTGTGGTGGAGCTATAAGCAGCTTGGTGTTTGACATCAGGCGATGCTTTGCATACTGCAGCACTTTTCCCAAAGGATATCGATTTAAACGGGATGAGTTGGTTCGCATCTGGATAACACAAGGGTTCGTAAACACCGGATATAACCGAACAGAGGATCTAGAAGATATAGGCCAGCACTACTTTGATCAATTATTGAAATTCTCATTTCTGCAAGTACAAATATCAAATTTTGTCATTAAGCCTGAAGCATTCACTATTCATGACCTGCTACACAAGTTGGCAGTGAGGGTTTCTGGAAGTGAGTTCTTTAGAATTCGTTTGAATGACTCACCAAAAGATATGCCACGAGGGGTTCTCCATCTCTTCATTGAGACGAACAATGTAGCAAAGATCATTGAGAAAATTCTGGACATTGGAAATTTGCGCACCCTGATCATTAAGGAGGCTTATACGGAGCCCGTGGAAACGATGAAAAGAAATCATGACCTAGAAAGGATCTTGGATCGTTTGTTCATGAGGCTGAGGAAACTGCGGCTGCTGATCATTAAACTAAATTGTCATCAGAAGACTTATCAGTCCCAGCATCCATTGATCATATGAAGCATCTACGTTATCTTGCTTTCCATTTTTTGGGTCACTCATTGAATCTAATTTTACCAAGCACGTTTAGCAAGCTTTACCATATGCAGATCATAGATATTCCTTATCATGAAGCATCCTTTCCTGATGATATGGCTAATCTAATTCATTTGCGTCATCTCCGCGAGGTGGCTTTCCCCAACATTGGTAGCATGAGGTCACTCCAAACACTGGGAACCTTTGGAGTGAAGGAGGAACAAGGGTACGAGTTGAAGCAGCTGATGCATCTGAACAAACTTCGAGGCACTCTGAGAATAGAGGGTCTTGGGTTTGTTGGAAGCAAAGAGGAAGCTCTTGAAGCCCAGCTAAGCCACCCACAAGAAGCGACTAAGAGAACTGGAACTGCAATTCGACGGGTATATTGATCCAGACATGCATGCAGAGGTACTTGAGGGCCTTTGTCCCCCAAACAATCTTGAAAAGCTCGGTATTGTGAGCTACACGGGTTCAATGCATCCTAGCTGGATGTTGAGTCATGCAGACACACCAAAGCAACTGGAGACTTTTACCTCTGTACCATTATAAAAGATGGTCGTTTCCCACATGCCAATAAAAAGTTGAGCCGCACCTATACGCCATCCACCTAAACTTTCTGGCCTCCTAGGCCATTCCATCCACTTTGCACTCTAACGGAGGGAAACGGCATGAAGGAAAGACCTGCTTGCCCTGAGGCCATAGAGGCAGATCAAAATCACCATTGTCCTTCTGTGCCACTCCCTGGCCGAGCTGGGTAGTTGTGTTGGTGCAAAAAAAAAACTAGAGT